TCCGATTAAACATTCTGTTAAAATACATTCTGGACAATCACTTGATTTACTACGTGTAAGTCAATTTTGAAGTTTCGCAGAAAATTATTTTAATCATTTAAGAGATCATAGATCATCTTGATATTATCACTTAACATTATATAAAAGATAAAATCAATAGATTGCATCATTAATTTTTTTATTAAATGAATGAAAAAACATCTGTCTTTCATTAGGATATAGTATTTTTTGTGATGAATAAAATGAGTACTCTCGTTGATGATAAAAGTTTACAAGAAGAGCTTGACAAAGAATATTCTTGTAAGAATCATTTTAAGTAAGTCTCATGTTTCGAAATATAATTATTTCATGTTAGAACTAAAAATCTTTATGATGAAAAACTACACTATCTCAAGCTTCTTAAATCGAACTAGATTTGAGAAAAAGCTATTCTATTCCAAAATTTATTTTTATCGTAATATTGTAATAAAGTGCCCATTTTGGAAGTATTGTAAAATCGATACCACTATTTATCATTTTCAATTTCCGAGTAACAGAAATACTTCTCGGCAGAACCATAGGCTAAACTTGAGAAAAAAAAGTTATGAAAGATAGCTATATCGCTTTTTTCAGTAAAAAAATTATTTTAGCTGAAATACGTAGGATATTATGTACTATTTTGTGTTAGTTTCAAACGCACTATTGTTTTTTTTTGCTTTGAAGTTAAAATTAGATTAAAGTTGAATATGATATTAAAATAGGTTTTTCTCAAAACTATTTCGATTTATGGAATTTTAGACAGCTTAGCTTTTGATCATAAAGTTTTTTAGCTGTATTTGCGTTATTTACATAATATGAGAACCGTATTTATCGTATCTATTTGACTTGACATTATTTTTGACAGAATTTAGTGGTGAATATGATTAGTATGTCAACTTTTAGAGCATAACCGAAATACTCAAAAGTAATAGACTCTGAAGACTACTTAGTCTTTGAGAAATTTTTATTGCTATTCAACAAAAACTAATAATTAGACAAGAATGTGTAGAATTTCATGCTCTAGCTTTTTATCCTACTAAGAATGAGATCTAGCAAGTAGTAGATTTACAACCTTATCAGACGATATCCTTTATTCGCCGAACAGATTCTCGTGTTGTGTTACAACAGAGTGAGTACGAACGGTGATGAAGATGATGGCTTATGTGCTTGCAACCATATTTATATTATAATAGTGAATTTTATGTCTACGAATGTAAATAAATCATGAACAAAAATAATTCGAATGTTTCTTTGGTTTTTTTTTCTAACACCTATCTTTCATCAACGGCAACAGCACGTTCTTTGAAACTTTTCTTTAACTCGAGTTGATCTCTGTCGGAAAATATCGAGTGCTACGGAACTTCCCATAATGAAATCTTATTTAACAGAGCTGACGATTTACCAGTTTATCATGAAACAAAGCGACATACAAATAAATTTTTTATATAAAATCTGCTCAGTTTTTAACAAGTTGTCATAATATCAGTTCATCTCTTTATAAACATGACTGTATTGAATAACATGTTGAAAATAGTGTTCGTTACAGAATTTCATCCTTTTCCCGAAAATCCCAATTTGGATCAGGATGAAAGCAAAAACATCAAAAGTAACCAAATACTCGTCAACAAGATGAAATTCTGCATGAAATTGCATGTTTTTTGATGAAATACAATGAAAAAAAAGATTTCAACTTCTTCGAGAAAAATCGAAGTTGAAATTTTGATTAATTAAATACTACACTTTTATTCAGAATTTGATGCTAATGCCAAATATATTCAAATATGTGTATACTAATGAGTGTAATCATTGGAGCCTGTATTGAGTTCTATCTGGAGACATTGTTTTACTTGCAAAAATTCACAACATAAGCGAGAAAAACCTACTATGAGCGAGTTTTGTTATGGAATTTCACCAAACGTAGAAATAGCTTTTGAACGTATTATCTTGGTTTGTAGATGTAAAACATTTGTTAAAGATCGTCTGTTGAGAGATTACTTCGTATCCCATAAATTAATAGCAAATCGAACAATTTTTTTTTCTACTAATCGCTCTTTGTTTGATGACTTATTCTAGTTGAAAGAGATTTCGTGTGTTCAGATCATTCAATGTTATTCAGAAATAGAAACGCTCTCGTTTTAAATACTATCGATCGTTCTCTTGTCAATGGTAGACTTCGCTTTCTTCACTTTGAAATTTAGACTCGCTCTATATGTACGTGATCAATGTTTGGTCATGTCGAGTAGATCACTTGATAGATATAACAAAATACAAGCAAACGATACTATCATTTAATTGAATTATAATTCAATATTCACCTTATCATTTATGTTCTTCAATCAAAATTGCGAACATAATGTTTTAATATTGTCGAAATGAAGAATTCTTGACATTTGTTTTACCAACATAGAGCATAATTTTTATCTTTCTTCTAGAAAAAGTATAAGAATAATTAATAGAAACTAATGACCAAGTTGGTGATTATTATGAGTTATTTATGAACAATTTAAATTCTTCTCATAGAGATTCTGATACATAATAATAAAAGATGAGTAATTTCCATAGTTTTCGTATATTTTCTTAGAGTATATGAAACAGTTGGTGGCATTTTATTAAATAAGAATTATTTTTCTTTTAACGATCTAACATTGAGTAGTTTTTTTTTTCTAGACTACATTTAGAAAATTAATCTCATTATTTATTTTCTTCTTTTGTAGAGTACCAAAGATGTTATATTAAAATTAATTGAAAATGCTGGTGGAGATATTCGTTTTTCAATGTTGGCTTTGACGAAAATATCATAAATTAACAAAAGAAATTTTTTTTGCACTGCATGTTTTTCTTTTTATTTGCTCTTTTTCTTTTTGTAATTGAACCAGCATGATTTCATCTAATGGATGTTTTTCATAGAAGTGTCCAGAGAAGAAAAAAAAAACAAGATATAACTGAAGAAAATGAATCATTTGAAAAATGCTAATGTTTATTTTTTCTTATTCTCGATAGAGTAATAGTACAAAAACATCAAGAGTGTCTCTTTCCTTGAATTTCAAATGTTTCAATTAACTCAAAAAAAGGTTATGAATTCATGCTTATGCTGTTAACAAGCAAATGAAAGGTGGTCAACTAATTTATTTTTCAATAGAAAATCTTCGTTTTGGTTATTTTTACTAAATGACTTGTTTTACAATGCATTTTTTTTATTATTAAAATCTAACTGTTAGGCGTTTTTTAAATAAAAAAAAACTTCAGATTTTTAGTGCATTTAATGGATATACTCGAGTTTGTTAGATAAGCGTTCTTTCATCGCATTTTTGCATGAATCATTTTGACATATTTTAATAAAGTGATTCGACAAAGAATATGTGTGGATTTCATCAAATTGATTTTATTATGAATAATAAATAAATTTTGAATGAACCTCAGAAAAATGAAATAATTAGATTTCTAATCAATAAAAAAAAGTTCTTGGTTAGAAATAGGTCACCATTAGAGAACAGAAGTATTCACAGTAAATATTCCATTATTTTTCGATTAAGTACAAAACTGAAGAGTACTATTATATTCGTACATTCAATATGTTTGTTCATATGAATGTCAAGATAATAGTTGTATTACAATTCAATGTATAAATAGAATACATCAATATTGAGAGAAACAAATAAATACAAATTATGATATGTCATAAAAAATAAAAGTTGAAATAGTAGAACTATTTTGAAAAAGATATATATAATAAATCAAAACGCATTTGTCTCACAACAGATATGTTCGATCAAAAACAAACGATTTCCAACATTTTAGCAGTATCTTGAAACTTTAATATGATTGAAGAGTTACCGGAAAAAAAATGAGCAAGTGACTTTAATCAAAACAATCCTCACAATGCATAGATTTTACAACGACTGACTTTGTTATCAATTCAAAGATACAATTTATTTATCTTTTCATATGTTATATATGAACTAAAAGGAAATTCTGAATACCAATTAATACTATATGTCTACGCTCTATTGTTGTTTATTTTATCCTAATAAGATCTGAATAAATATTATTTCTTTTTTACAAACAAACACTAGATGATTAATTTGACAATGATTGTAAACTTTATTCTGAGCTGAATGTCTTTGGTGTGGCTCAAGACTGAGCTAAAATAAATGTTTTATTCTGCTCTGTATAAGATACACTATTTTGTTCATATATTTTAATAGGATTAATTAACAGATTTCATCAGGAAAAGTTCAATGTAAATATTGCTATTTTTATTATATTTAGTCTGATATTTGCATTCTTATGCTAAATTATACTAGTAGAGCCTGTCCACGAGAGGTGTTATTCCGTCACGCTCTGTTTATGATGAATAAGGAGTCGTGGACAGCTTTGCAATTTCTCATTTTGAAAAGCACAATTTTTTGTCCAAAACTGCAAAAACATTTGATCTTAAATATTGAGTGGCTTGTGCGTAATAAAACAAACAAAGCATGACGGAATAACGTTTTGCGTAGACAGGCTCATTAGTTTTATAATTTGAATAAAAAAATATAGCGTCATTCTTTAAAGAGTTGCATTTATTTTTCTCTTGTCTTTTAATTATAATGAAAGAAAATTAACAGCTGACAAAGATAATATACTTAACATATTGACTAATATGAGTTAACTATCGTTTTTTTTAAATTCTATGCTGAATAAGAAATTGGAAGCCTTGGTTAATGACGTTTTACATATTTGCTCACATTTTTAAGTGTTTCTTTCATCATGAAGTAAAAAATAACGATTGCTATTCTTTTAACGTATATAAACTGCATTCAAATGAACGCGCAGTAGTTGAAAAAAAAACAGAGTAAGAAAAGAATTTTGTAAGTAAATAACAGTTGTTGCAAACAGAAAGCAGCAGCATTTTATTTCTACTTGAAAATAGAAAAGATAGTTTTCTTTTTACACTTTAATTTTATGTGAAGATTTCATTGTCTATTTTTTCAGTGTGAGGTATGGCACCTACAAACGATCGTCTGTTTAGTGAAATATGGCCAAAATGTTTTGTAATATTTATGGCTATCATTGAATTAATAGCTGTGCTTGTTCTTTTCATAACTGAATTTGGTAATGTTGGAGTTAATTTTTGGACCACAAATGTATTTGCTGGTGGTTGGTGTGGACTTATTATGCTTATACATGTTATATTGTTATTTGTTGCTGGTAAGTTAATCTTTTAAAAGTAAAATAAAATAAAATATCAATAATTCAATTTTCAATAGGATGTGGTGCGCCTAAATTGCCACCTGCTTTTCGTGCAGTTATTGTTACAGTTATTGCTCTTGTAGCTTGCATTACATTAATTGGATTCGATGCTTATTTTATTGCTCAACCTACAGCATGTTTATTAACTTCATCATGTACTACAAATGCTGCATCCAATGCTACATTTAGTTATGGTTTTCGACAATGGTTTTTTACATTAATGAATAATTGGGGTCCATTTAAAACTTATACAGAAAGTCAAGCTAAACTTTTCGTGCAAGCAATGCAATTGGGTATCGGTGGTTTATGCTTAATTCTGTGCATTATTTATTTAGTTATTTATTACGTATGTACAAATAAATCTAATGGACAAGTAGGACCTACTTTACAATCTCAACAACAGAATTACTATGCACCACTTCACCCAAGTTATTATGCACCACCTAAACCAAGTTATAATGCTCCTCCACTTCAACAACAATATGTTCAACCACCAGCAACTGCTTATCATCGAACTACTTATATTCCACAAGCAGCACCAGGTGAAATTCCTTGGAATTCAAACAGACGATATTAAAACAGATTCTATTTGAATCAATTGAGCTTAAAAGCACTGTACCTTTTTCTTTTTTTTCGTTAATAATAATGATTTTGATTCATGTAAATTTTCTACCAAATTCGAACAGTTTTTCATAGTTTTACATGTCAAAGTCAAAAGTTTATATCGCATTTTACTTTCCTCATTTTATTTTGTCTTTACCATGAAAGCAGAATATGATCAGTAACTTATTTACATTATGCTACTTCAGTTACAATGTTAGAATAACAGAAACCATTTCTATCTTACAAAAAGACCATTTCACTCAATAAAATAATTTCTCTTCTTCAGTAAACATGTTTGATCGTTAATGAATCGTACTGATGGGTTTCCAAATGTTTTCGTTTTATGTTTCTTTTTATAATGCAAATAATAAATGAAATAAAAAATAGAAAAATTTAAAGACCGAGATGAGTGAAAAATTAGATTTATATTGTCCTCAGATCAATGATTTCAGCGCTCAAATTCACGGATTTCTAGTTGGAGCCCACAAGAAAGACACTGCTTTCGGCTGAACAATGGTAGGAACTTCAAACCAGGTACTCGGTGATTCAATGCAGTTGCCGATTCTATCCCATTACGGTCAGTTCTGACAACGACTTGAATAAATTCGGTCACCAAATTCAATCACTGGATTCGTACTTCTAAGTTCCTACTATTCCTTTAGTCATAACTCATTTACTTGAGGTGTACTAAAAAACACGAATGAATAAAAGAGATAATTAATATATTGAAGAAAAAAAAATCGTTTTTTAAATTTATGTTAGGAAATTTGCGACAATATAACAGCAATAGTTAAATAGCTTTACAATATATTCAAGTCTATCTATTCAAATTATTTCATCATTAATAACTTAACCAGAAAGAGACTAATTTTGTTTTTGAAACATATGAATTATCACGTTTTCCCCTTGTTTTTTCTTTATTTAACTCTCGATTATGTCTCTTAGTTTGTAATATGCAATTAAAAATAGGTATTCATCAGTTCGATCTTAACTGAGCTTTCACACAACTAAACTATAATGCATTGGATTAGCGAAATTATCTATTTCACAGTTGCATTAGGTAAATATTCAGATCAATGTAATTATTATTATTTTATGCATCGGAACTTATTGAATTATTGCTTCATCTTGTGACTGTGATAGAACACTGCTGTTTAATACTATTGGGTTTTCAGAAAGTGGCTAATAGTATTCATACTATTTGCTATGGTAATTATTACAGTGCCTTAGAAAAAGTATATATTAGTCATCCAATATAATACAGATCGGAGCTGTCATCTTAACCTGCTTCTTGACAGATCATCAGACCAGACTGAGTTTTGAAATTTTAGCTTGACCTCTGTGTTATGTAATATTATTTTCCCTTACATAACTTGAATCATAAGATGAGGACAAAGGTTCATGATTTTCTAGAGATATGGGTATATCATAATAATATTTTTCCGATGATGTGAAATAGTACTGATATATTCAAAAATATTTTGATAAGTCTAGTGTTTCTTGCATGAAAAATATTTTTGATTATTAATCTCTTTGTTTAAATTCACTATTTCTTCAAATACTTTTCATTGTATAATTTTCATAAAAATGAATTACGTGTATAATTGCAACGAGAATGACACATTATAATAAGGTTACAGAACTTATTGAATTCAAAAAAACAGAAACATCAGTCGGCTCGTTAACTGCTCGAGTATAGATCAATTAAGTGAATACCTGGAATCGATTAGACACCGAATAAACTAAGGTCGGTGCATATCGAATCTTTTTTTCGTTGCTTGAATTATTATGGAATTATTTGCTCAGGTTTTTCATTTTTGATTAATTAAATTATAAATAACGGTACAATTCAATCCTAATGGCGATTAAATGCTATAAAGAGATTATTTGATTTTAGAACTCGTTCGGCAACAGTGATCCGATATTGAAATTTTTACTTTGAGGGTTTTTTTTAGAAGGCGTAAAAATTCAGTTTTCTACTATGACATTGATTATAAATTAGTTTTTCAAGTGACATCTTCTTCACGTTTCTTGAATTTCCATCAGTAAAATTAATCAATATTGTTTCTTTGATATGTACTATTTCAACTTGTAATAAAATCATTGAATAAAGTTTTTTTACTGTATGACAATATCTAAACTGAAAAACATTATTTAGTAAAAAATTATATTCCATTCCACATGATGTCTGCCAATGATTATTGTCTTTAAATTTAAACGTTGTGATGGATATTATTAATGTGGCTGACTCTATGAAGTGTAACAGTCTATTCATTTTCTTTTAATTGCTGAGTTGCCATGGTGAACTACTCTTTCACTACCTAGGCATAATGTCGAATTGAAAAGTTTGCTGAGATCATTAGAGTTTGATGCAAGAGATACACTCGAAATTTGTTTTTTTCAAAATTCAACAGCATTCAAGAGATATTAATAGACACAAAAGGACAATTACCAGCTGATAGCTTCCTTAAATGGTGATGTATGACCGGATCTAAAAATATTGGCTCATATCTTAGAAGTTGAATACTTATAAAATCTAATTATCGTTTTGTGTGAGTTAAATATTTATAATTTATATTTAAGATTAGTAACTTGTCAAGATTATACTAAAAAAGAATCAATATTAGAATCTATTTCAACTAGAAAAGAATCGAGAAAATATTTGTTTTATTTTTCTTTAACTGATTCATTTATAAATTCAATTCAAAAACAAAGATTTTCGATGAAACAAAAAAAAAGCTCGTTCTAAAGCATTAAAAAAATGTCCACAAAATCGATCTTGTTATATATTACAAACATAAATCAAATAAAAGAATCACATTCAATGGAATATCATCCAAGTTGTATTTATTATTTTAATTTTATTCTGTCAGTCACGAAACAAAAAAATTTTTGGATGTACAATATTAATTGATTAGTTTTTAAATAAAAACGAACTTATGAAAAAGAATTCCAATATAAAAAGCTACGCTCGAAAAGCAGTCTAGTTTCATTTTGCTTTTGAATATATGATTTCTTCTCTTGTCGATAACTGTAGACCTTTTCTTAGGTAATTTTTTTAACTGCAGCTATTTCTGATCTGTGACATGATATGATGGTATCTTCTTTAAGTGACTCTAATAATTCTTGTATTGTAGTTATTGAAATAACTATTTGATAAGATTAATTCCGATACGAGAAAAAAAAAGAAGATGTGTTAATTCAAAATCGTAATCATCTGTTTCAATCTATAATTATTCTTTTAGTTATATTTTGAAGGTAAACTTTTATGCATTTCGATGTTTATCGAGGATGGTATACATACATTTTATGTTGCATCATAAGTTTCTCTCTCTTTTTTTTCTCCTTGCGCATATGTTCATGCACGAACGGTTTTATTCGTATAGCTATTATTCATTTTTTTGATTCATTTTTATGAAATGACGCTGTAATAATGGAGGAAGAAGTGCCGTTGAAAATTATCGAATTATCTGATTTTCTTCGTTTGCCATCAATACTTTCCAAGAGACTTGAATTTAAACAAACAAAAGCTGAAGACTTATCATTCGATCAACGAAGAAAAGATCGACACAGTTCAGGCAAACTAAAATTAAAAACTACACAACCGAGCGTTATTTTATTAAAACAAAAGCCAATAGCTACCGATAATCATGCTGATGAAGACTATTTCAAACCAAAGGAATTGATTGTACCTAAAGATATTATTGTATTTGCTGATGATGTAGATCGAGAAAAAATTGGTCTATTCAATAAAGCAAAAAACCATTTTTCTAGGTTCGTTAAAAACAAAAGAACTAAGAAAAACTAATTTTTATTCTTTTCAAAAAATATTAGACATTTATTAGTTACATCGGGTGCCGCACTTCAAGCGTTGATACCTCCATTAACTAACGCTACAGAATGGATTGTTGTTTGTAAACTGAAATATTCGAAACTTTATACAAAAGAATTACCAATTGAAAGTAATTTATTTCATAAATATTCTTGTCTTGTTTTTTTTTATTATCAGGCGTTTCGATTTGTTTAAGGAAATGTTATTATTTCATTGAATGTCAATCATCCTTATGTTCGCTATGAAATTCTTACTGCCTTTGATTTATTACAACAATCATTCAATGAAATAAAATCAGCTTATATTATGGTTTGTGTATTTTTCTTTCTCTCTAAAAATTAAACATATAAAAATAAAAATAAAAATTTAGATTGATTTTTCTCGAATATTAAGTCGATGGTTTAGAAATTATCTTCAACGTACTGATCAGTATCCACCATTATCGAATCGAATATTATTTCGATATCAATTTCAAACATGTAAATGTTCACTTACATTAGGAAAACGACAATTTCATCAAGATAATAAGTGTTATCGATTTGGAATTAGTCGACAAAAATCTGTAAATAATTATGCCAATTTATTATTCAAATAAATTATTATTTTTATTTTATTTAGCATTGTAAGCCTGATATTCCAATGCAGATCTATATTAATTTCAATTCTTTACCAACAATGGTCTATGCAATTCAATTAAATAATATATTCATCTATTCAATGAGTATATCTCTTATATCTTTGTTTTTTTATTTTATAGAATTATCTGTTGTATTTCTAGATGATGAATATAAACAAATATTAAAAGATATTGGTAACGGTTTATCATTAGTTTCTGTACAGAGTCTTAATCCTAGTGGAATTGTAGAAGAGAAGCCAAATATTTGTAATTCTCGTGTTGAAAAGGAAGAAAATTTTCAAGGAAAATATTCTGTTCAAGAAAAACATTCTGTTCAAGAAAAGAATTCTGTTCAAGAAAAACATTTTGTTCAAGAAAAAGAAGAAACAAAATCTCCTCCATCATCAGATGAACCCAATGAACAAGAGAAATTTTTATTTGGAAAACTTTGCGAGAATCGAATGCGAATTCAAATGCATCATCAACAATTAATGACGAGAGCAGCACGATTATTGTGTCTTCCATC